AGTAGTTCTAATTTCTTCTTGCTGACACACTGAAGAGAGTGAGTTTGCATCAGATTCCATGCAGATTGCCCTGTCTTAAGTACCTCATTGCTGAATATATATAGGTAGAAATTATAAAATCCTAGATTTCATGAGTGTTGCTCAGAATAGGCAAACATGACAGTATTTGAAATACACTGATTTTAAATCCTGGCCAGCCACTGAATCTTACTTGTTTTGTTACTCATTTTTTTTTAGTTCTCAGCAATGAAATAAAATACACACAGTATCTTTCTTTTTTGTTTTTTTAATGTGAATTATAAACAAGCTTGTTTTTACATGTCAATCCCAGTTCCTTCTCCCTGCCTCCTCCCCTGCCCCCCACCAACCCCTATCCCATCACCTTTCTGCTTCCCAGGGAGGGTGAGGCCTTCCATGAGTGATCTTCAAAGTCTGTCATATCATTTGGAGCAGGATCTAGACCCTCCCCCATGTGTCTAGGCTGAGAGAGCATCCCTTTATGTGGAATGGGTTCCCAAAGTCCACTTGTATACTAGGAATAAACACTGATCCACTACTAGAGGCCCCATAGATAGCCCAGGCCTCCTAACTGACAGTTACGTTCAGGGGTTCTGGGTCAGTCCTATGCTGGTTTCCCACCTATCGGTTTGGGGATCCATGAGTTCTCCCTTGTTCAGGTCAGTTGTTTCTGTGGGTTTCTCCAGCCTGATCTTGACCCCTTTATTCATCATTCCTCCCTCTCTGCAACTGGATTCCAGGAGTTCAGCTCAGTGTTTAGCTGTGGGTGTCTGCTTCTGCTTCCATCAGCTACTAGACAAAGGCTCTAGGATGGCATATAAGGTAGTCATCAATCTCATTATTGGGAAAAGGCATTAAATGTAGCCTCTCCACTATTGCTTAGAATGTTAATTGGTGTAATCCTTATAGATCTCTGGACATTTCCCTAGGGCCAGATTGCTCTTTAAATCTATAATGTCTCCCTCTATTATGGTATTTCTCTTCTTGCTGCCCTCTATTCTTCCCCTGACTCAATCTTCCTGCTTCCTCCTGTCTTCCTCTCCCCTCCTCTTCTCCCCTTCTTTTTTTCCTAACTCCCTCTCCCTTCCCCAATGCTCCCAATTTGCTCAGGAGATCTTGTCCCTTTCCCCTTCTCTGGGGGACCATGCATGTCTCTCTTAGGGTCCTCCTTGTTTCCTAACTTCTCTAGTGGTGTGGATTACAGGCTGATAATCCTGAGCTCTATGTCTAAAATTCATATGAGTATACACTATGTTTGTCTTTTTGTGACTGGGTTACCTCACTCTGGATGGTTACTTCTAGTTTCATCCATTACCTGTAAATTTCAAGATTCCATTTTTTTTCCGCTGAGTGGTACTCCATTGTGTAAATGTACCACATTTTCTGTATCCATTCTTTGGTTGAGGGGCATCTAGGTTGCTTCCAGGTTCTGGCTATTACAGATAATGCTGCTATGAACATAGTTGAACAGATGTCCTTGTATGAATGTGCATCTTTTGGGTATATGCCTAAGAGTGGAATTGCTGGATTTTGTGGTAGACTGATTCCTATTTTCCTGAGTACTTGCCCTATTGATTTCCAAAGTATGTTCCTCTATGCATTTCATCTTTTAATTCTCATAGTCTAATCCAACTTGTTCAGCATACAAGTAACCTGCCCATTCTCCTCAAAATAAAAAAAAATCATTTCAAAGATTAGTAACAATTAAAATATACATGAAAATTTTATTAGCCGTGTTTCTGTCATTTTACCATATAAGATACAGCATTGTAGGTTTTTTCCAATCATTTAGCACTTATGCCACAAATTAAACTATTTGATGTATGCATGCAATTCAGAAAACAAAAGCATTCAGTATATATAAACCACACTCATGTATATTCATTTGTGCAAATACTTATGTACAAGAAATGCTCCTTATAAATTTGAAGGGGCACTAAATCTTTTAAATTCAGCCTTTATAAATTCTGCTGTATTTTGTTTGAAAAAAGATGATTATCCTTTTCATCTTAATATAGGTAATTAAAATCGACATCCTCCATACCAACTTCGAGTATTTCTTTCCATGTCTGAAATGTATTTTAGTTCAATGCTTCGAGTTATTGATGTGAAATATAATTTAAAGGCAATTTAACACTCACTTGCCATGCAGTCATTTCTTTTTTAGGTCAATCCTAGGAAATTAAACATTAATGAATCCTAATGTCTGACTACATCATGGTCTTACCACTCATTGCTAAAACACAGGATATTTATACTTACACATACACATGTATTATATGCATTTACTTGATAAAATATGAGCTCCAAAAATAAAAAAAAAGAATCCCCCATCTTTCCCATCTTTTCCCCCATCTGTCTCCTCAGAGTTCAGCACTTCCCAACACAGAGTAAGCACTCAGGAAACCTGTTAAATGTGTGAATACCCCCTTCTTCTGGAACCTGAATTAAAGATATAATAAAAGAAAAATAGCAATGTCTTTGACTCATAACCATGCACAGTGGTGTTTTGTTTTGTTTTGTATTTTTTCTGTTATTTTTTTCTAGCCTCATTCAATTTCAGATGCAATACAAACTGCAACAATAGGAATTAAGAAGTAAGGGGCTTAAAGTAGTTAAATAAATCCTCATGCAAATGTTAGTGTTTAAATTCCCCTATATAGACAGTATTTAAACCTGGGTTTGTGTGAGAAAATCATGAGGACAGGCAAAACTTACAACAAATAAAGCAAGCATCAGGAAAAGTGAGATGGAAAGACAACTTTCATGTCACAGAAATCTCACAGGTAGGTTTCCCTCTGGGTGGTGTCTATTTATAGGCTCCGGGGATCAATGCTGTACTGTTGTTAAGCTCAGTGCTTCATAATGTTGAGACTTTTCCCTACATTTGGGTTCCGAACTTAACTTCTATTCAGAAAGAAAGGTTTCTTTTCATATATATATATATATATATATATATATATATATATATATATATATATAAACCAGGTTTTAAAACACAGAATGACTTCAGAGGCTGTTCTATCATTAGAGAAAGTTGAAAGCTATTTTAACTACAAGCTGAAGAGTCTCTCTGTAAGGGGCAGGGAGGTGACACAAAAGCCAGGTGTGGTGGCATGCTGTGATCCCAGCAATGAAGAGGTGCAGATAGGACATACTTGAGGTCTAGCTGTGTAAATGAGCTTTGGGTTCAGTTGCAGACCCTGTCTCAAAAAAAAAAAGTGGAGACAGGTTAGGAAAGACAGTATCGATCTCCGGCTCAATGATGCGTGCCCATGTAAACAGGCATATTTGTGTGTCACACCCACGCATGTGAACCTAGGTAGATGATATGGCTTTTATTTAGATTATCCTGTCTGCCTTTGGTAGGAAAACCCAAGTAAATGAAAAAAGTTAAACCCTGTAACCTGACATTTATCCATGATTTTCTGTTTCCCCTCCTCATGCCAGATAGGAATGATAAATTGATTAATCTCAGGTTTCTTTCTTACCTTATATATACTGATTCCTGAGGGAAGAATGAATAAGCATGATGGTCAAAATGAAGATTTTTATTTTCCTTTTGAGACAGGATTCATGTAGCCCCAGCTAGCCTTGAGCTACTATGTAGCCAAGGATGACCTTCCTGTCTTCAATCTCCCAAGTTTGATGGGATTGAAGGCATGCAGCACTACACCTTGTGTATATTGTGCTGTGAATCAAGTCCAGGACTCCTGGACTCCAGCAAACACTTTGCCAACACAGCTACAAACCCAGCTCAAAGCAGATACACTAAAAATATTCAAGCATTGTATTTTAAAAGCAGGGAGATTGAAGAACAGAATTAATCAGATGTAGTAGCTAAGCAACCCATTGAATCTATCTTTTCCAAGTAATCAATAATTGGTTCGTACAGTTTTGATTAATTCTGTGATGTTAAGTTTTGTTTCTAAGATGCCTTGAGATCAGAATATAGGAATGCTGTTTGCCTTTTTTCTATAATTTTGCGGATACGACCAAGTTAGATTTTGTGGTACATTTACTGAAATGAACACATTGGAGAAGTAAAAACATAGTGTCCTCTATTGGAGTATAAATATTGACTGATGGCATTTGCTGTTTGTGGATGAGCAAACTGTCTGTTTTTAAAAGCAAACATACCATTTTGCCTATAAAACTCAGTGCCCCATATAATTAGTGACCAGTGAAAGCTCTCATTTTGAGAGCCAACTCAGCCTGACTCCGAATTCAGCCAACATATAACAAGATTGAATACCCAGAGATTCCAGAAGTGAGCTTGGGGTATTCTTTTTTTTTATTTTATTTTCCAGTTTAAATTTAGATAAGAAACGAGGTTGCTTCACAAGTCAGTTCCAGGTCCCTCTCCCATTCCCTCCCCTCCTCCCGTGCCCTCCCCCCAACCCCCCCGTTATCCCCTCATTCCCCCAGGGAGGGTGAGGCCCTCCATGGGGGTGTCCATAGTCTGTCATTTCATATAGGGCAGGGCCTAGACCCTTCCCCAAGAGTTCAGGGTGAGAGTGCACCTCACATTGTTCTATGGAAGTCCAAAGTTGGGGTATTCTTATAAGGCAGTAGACACAGCTCCATTATCTTAGCTGAAAAACAGTGGTGGGAATTTGAGTGTGTGATACTGTCTTTATAGTCAAAACCTTTGCAACAAACTGTGTCACCAGGCTACTTTTATTTTCACTCCTGAGAGTTAGAAAAGAGCCAAATACAGTTGTCCTCGATTTTACATTGCAGCTTCCAGCTATCACTATCCTAACGTATTATTTAACAATCATTTTTAATTAGGAAAATTGTATATATACCTGCCTTTTGTGTGGCTTAATCATATTCAGTTATCATCTCTGCTTAAATGTTTGCCTTACATGGAGTTGAAATCTAAACTTGTGTTCTTAATAGTTTATTCTCACTATAGGAGAGCTCCTGGGATATCTTCATGAACTCATGCCATTGTTTTTTTTCCCCTGACTTTTTAGGTGTACAAGAATTTCCAGAAAACATAAAGTGCTGTAAGTGTTTAACCATTATTGAAGCCAGTGTCAATCCCATTTCTAAGTGAGTATAAATTATTAGATTTTACTTTTTTTGTATTTACATTGGCTTATAGTGTACTTAGATGGAACTTTTGTGATCATAGTTTTCGATATAAAATCAATTGTCTTAGTTAACAGAATGGTAGAAAAGCTGCCAAGATCTGAGTTTCATTAAGATAACTAAAAGCACAGTGAATGTGAAGGAAGACCCAACTGGCCAAGTACAACATTACTTCGAGCAACCATGGCATTGCTTTTCTGTAGTTCTCAGTACTATTCCATGCCTGAGAGTCAAAATCAAGGAAATAGGTATTAGTTGCAGTCCTGGTAAGAAATTAACATTAAGGACTTGATGGAAATTCAAAACAGAAGAAAGTTTAACGGTGCCAACAAACGCTTTAATAGTTGAGTATCCTCAACAAAGAAATTGGGACTGACTCCAAATAAGAAGTACCTGGGTCCCAGAAATAGCAGCAAGAGAAAAGGGAAAAGCCTAAAGGTATAGTAGATAGACATGGATGATGAGACGCTAGCAGGAAAAGGGGTGGTATTTGTGGTTCAAGATTTCTATTAATTAGGAAATCTCATAGGAAAATGAAACTCAACATGTGACTATGTCGCTGACCTAAAAATTGTTCTGGGTGAGAGGTCTGTGGAAACATGAACAGGTGGGTTAGATTAAGTCCTAACCCTGAATATTCAGGTAAAATGGAAGTAGAAATGAAATCTAGAAAGGCTACTGATGTCTTAGTAGTACCTGGAAAAGGCTGGTCCCAGAACGCAGATTGTGGTGTTCAGAGAGTGGTGCCATCCATCTTAATTGGAGGAAGCTGACAGTAAAGTCCTCCAGGACTTCGTCTACATGAGTAGAGGAGGTTAGAGTGCTTGGTAGGGAAAATATTTTCAAAAGGCACAAAGGGGCTGGTTGGAGTTTTACAACCAGAGGGCACAGTAGAATGAGATGGATGTTTACAGTGAGTAACTTGAGAAACACTATGAAGCCCCTAGTAGAAAATAAGATACATCAAAAAATGTGGTGTGCTTCAAAATCAGAGTTTCTACCTCAAATTAGAATATGGAAGGGGAAACAAATGCAAGCCTTGAAAAAAAATTTTCCCAACTCTACACCAAATGCATTTTTCTCAGCATCTCAACATAATGGAGTCACTAGCCTCTCACACCAAGACTGCCACACAGTCCAAGGTAGATGAAGAGCTGGTCTGTTTTATATACTATTTGTTATTTATTGTTTTCTTTAGTTCCTAGATTCTAATTCATTGTATTATTTAGTAATTGCAGCAAGTCTTTTAGGGTAGAAACCAGATTAAAATTTACATCACTAAGAATTTAAAAACCAGTTTTATCATACCTACTTCCAAACTCACTTAATACATTTAACATTATAAAAAAACATTTAAATTAACGATTTCATAAAAAAACACTTAACACTTTAAGCATTAGCTAGTTTGAGAGTGTATAAAAACACAGTCAATAGAAAAGTAAATTTAAGCAATGTTTCTGCCCTGGCCAGCAGGGTACAATGAAGGTCGAACTCATGGGAACATGGAATGAAATGGACAAAAGACACAAGGACAGACAACAAGACAGGCTCTCTGATCAAGCTGCAATTTTTTATTTTCTCACAAGGATTCTTATAATGGTTGAAGCAGGAAGCTTGGCGGGGTGAAGGGGTGGTTAGGTGTGAGAGGTTGAAACAGGGAACTTGGTCTTGACAGGGTATGGTCCAAGGGCACAAGTCTGTGGCAGGGGGAGTCTTGACTGCAGGCCAGGTGGCAGAGGGTGGGAGAGCCTGGACTGCAGGCCTTGAAAGTATGCTGTACAGGAAGACAAGCAAGCACACAGACATAGAAGCTTAACTGTGTTAGTCTCTAAGGATACAGTAGGAATATAAAGATGGCTTTTATTATGCTATCCTTATTTAGGACCTTCCACAGATGGCAATATTTACAAGAGGTTCTATATATCAATGATCGCTCCCGACATGTTTTCATTTTCAAAGTCAGACTTTTTTTTAAGTGCACCTTTTAGGTGCACAACTGAGTAGTTTTTTGACAGATGATTTAGTCACTAACTGTGATCAATATAAATCATTCCAACATGCCCAGAGCTCCTCTAGTACAGCTGTCTTTTTCCAGAATGGTCGGAGTGTTTTTACTCATCTTAGTGGCTGTCGCTTTGTCTACACATCCATTCCTGTAGCAGCAGGATCATCCCATTGCAAAGAAATCACAGGACTCATGTGTCCATTAATGGATGTGATGATTGTTTATAAACACTTCTGGTAGAAACTGTGTGCAGACATTTGAGAAATTCATGCTCAGGTGTCACTTACATTGCTTGAAGGCCTGAGGTAGTTCAATGGGGAGTACAGAACTCATATACTTGAACTTAAAAGAAACTTAAAAACTTGCAAATGGCGGCTGTTTCTTTGCCATCATACAATGTTTTAAGTTTTCATTTCTGCAATTTCAATCACTTTGGTAGATGTGCTGTCTCCTTGTGGTTTTAATCTACATTTATAGTGTCCAATCAGCATATTTCTCTGCATATTAATTAAATGTATTGTTTCTTTGGCAGTGATTCAATTTTTTCCTTGACTCGTCTTTTTTTTAATGCTGAATTATAAGTTATTTTCAGATTCCGGGTGCAGTATGAGTCCCAGTTCTGTGGTTTGTTCCCTCACACTCTAAATAGCACCCTTCACAGAGAGGCTTTTATGTTTGTGTGAAGTCTTGTTTAATAGCATGCATTCTAGCTTCCTGCCTAAGAAACCTTCGCTATGTTCAGAGTCCTGCTCGTTTCTCTGAAGTTTTGCTCTGATCTTTTGTAGCTCAAGCTTTCCCTTTGGCTTATGGTTCACATAAGAGCAGACCTCTGCATATCAGCAGGGCTTAATGGTCATGAGGCTTTTCTCTGATGTCTGAGTATCCAGTTGCTCCCATCTCCAACAGAGCTGCCTCCAATGAAAATTAGCTGTTTATATGTGCGTGTGTCCATTTGTGCTTTCTGCTATGTTACACCAACCTATGTGCCTACCTTTATAGCACTGACGCTCTCTCAATTACTGTAGTTGCGTTGGTCAATCATGAAGTTGGGTAATATGAGCCCTCATTAACTTTATTCCTTATCATTATCACACGAGTTAGTTGATGCCTTTTTGTCTTTCTATACAAATTTCACAATCAGCTTCCCAGTTTCTTCAAAGGTATAAATGTCTGCCAAGATTTTGACAGATATTTCATTGAATCAGTAGATTTGGTTAGAATTAATATCTCAGAAATATTGGGATGCTTAATTCTGAAAATATCTCCAAAACTTTTTCATATTTTAAATTTTCTTTTATCCATTTTTGTAGATTTTTACATGTTAATACTACATATTTTATTTATTTATTCCCATGAGTTTGCTTTTTATGCTATTGTGGATAATTTTTGTTAATCTATTTTGTCATGTATATAAATACAATAGATTTTGAAATATTTGCGTTACAACTAAACTTTGTTTCTTAATTCTCCTGGACTGTTTCTGAACATTTGGGGAGGGGTCCTGTGTAAGCATTCCTGCTGTCTATGAATTTGTGTACTTCATTGTTTTTATCTACTTGTTGAATATTGACTTTTCTTGCCTTATTTGTCTTGTAGGACCTCCTCTCACATTAAATAAAGAAGTGAAAACAGACAGCAATGTTAGTTTTTCATTATCTGCTATTGCTTCTTATTTTCTCATATACACACTCTGTCAGTTTAAGGAAATGTCCCATAACCAGCCTTCATTTCCATTGGCACCCACACTGACAGGACTTCTAAGTAAAATTCGTTCAGGGAAATGCAGCCTCTGTCTGTGATAGCCTGTGCTTGTTGTTTTCTGTTTCTTGATTTTAAGTCTCTTCTTTTGGGTTCCAAAGACACTCTACATTTTTGGGAGGCTATTATGGCAGAGATCTTATTCAGAGTACCAGAATCTATATTAGTTTCCTTCTGTGTAATTAATGCCCATGAGCTCAGCAGCTTGTTTACTGTATACTGTCATCTCCCAGAGTTTCTGGTTCAGGAACTTGTACATAGCTGATCTCGGCTGCTGGTTCACAATCTCACCTCCAGGAGATAAGGAAAGAGCAGAGCAGTGTTTTCAGAGGCCTTGGGTGGACAAGAATCCACTCCAGCAATAAATTTGGGCTGTTGTAGAATTCCTTCCTCACACAGAGAGCTGAGAGCCCAGCTGTCTACTGGCCACCCCTAAAGACTCTGTGGGCCTCTAAAGGGTACATCTCCCTGCTGTATAATTATCTCCAGATGCAACTTGCTACCTAGCATCTGGCTTCCTCAAGGTCAACACCAAGTGAGAGTAAGTCAAGAAGATGATTTGGGATGTGGCATCCCATTGTACAGCCATGTTCTGTTAACTGATAGAAAAATCATCAGTCCTGCCATTGCAAGAGACAACAGGGCCACTATACACTAGAGCTGTCACACCTTTTGTATCTGTTTTCCAGAGTGTTTATTGTCACTGGGTATTGAATTTGGTCAAAGCTGATTTGTAAGATCTGTAATCACTTGGCTTTCCTTCCCTTGGTTTTATGGCGACTCATATTGTTCAGTGTTTCCTATCAATCATGTTTGCCGAAGGACAAACTATTTAGGCATGAATATTGCTCACTTTTATGTTCTACTGCTCTGATTTATTAATAACTATTAATGGTTTATCTGTTGATTTTGTGAGATATACTCATCAAATGTTTCTGCTAATTCCTTTGTCCAGTTTTCTATCAAGGCAAAACTGGTTTTATTGAGTTGGGAAATGTTCTATTCTATTTGCTATAGTAATTGCATAGACTTACTTTTATCCCTTTAGTAAGCATTGGTGTTCCCACTATGCCTGTTAGCCTTCCCTTAGTAACTAATCAGCTATCCAAACCAGTTATTTCTCCTTCAGAAATAGTTTTTCAGGAACCTGTTTCCTTTGTACAAGTCATGCCTTGCTGTTTCACTAAGTTTTCCTTAG